CACCATCGCACAGGGAGGTGTTCTTCCCAACATCCAGGCTGTACTTCTGCCCAAGAAGACCGAGAAGAAAGCCAAAGCTTAAATAAGCTTTGACTCACAAACAAACGGCTCCTTTAGGAGCCACCAAATGTTAAAAAAGTCACGATCAACACAATGGTAGTTCAATGATATGCAACTGAAGCACAATTTAAACTCATAGATATTTTCTTTAATGCGGTACAAAGAACTTGAAAATGCGTCTCCCGTCATATTCAATAAAAAACGTTGCATTTGAGGGTCGGCTTTGAGTGACTCGTTGGTTTTCATACTCAATAATTATGGTAACATCTAAGTCACGAGTTCTAGATCGAAAAAATCATCGAATGCCTCCAAAGCGAAAAACAATCTCGCGCACGCTTGCATCTAGGCGCCTATATTTTTCCCCCAGTCAAGATTCGTGATTTTATATTCAATCCTCGAGTTAACATGAGCACAACAAATTCAAATAGAAATTCAGTTAGCATGCTAATCCAGTTGACGCAACTAGTACAACTGAGCGCACGGGTTCACTAATACCGAAAATAGGCGCCTAATTCAAAATTTCATCGTTTTCCAAAACTATATGTCCCGATGCAACGCTCCTTTTTACGTTATGTCTGGTGCTCCTACTATGCCAATTGTTATATCAGATTTGAAGTATGATTTTTTGCGTGAAGATAAAAAGTGAGCGATCTTATAACGACTTTATAATCACTGTTTTGAATACTGATTGAAAGGAAGCCTTGACGTGCGCCGTATACAAACGGCATGAAAAGGACGCGTGGCAGTGAGTAGGTTTCTCTAAAAGACCTGAAAATTTGTTAAAATTTTCACGAAAACTGCATATAAACAGAAGCTTAGGAAACTTGAGTGGTGCTTTATAGTCCGACGGGGTTAATTTCTTTGTTGTTTGGTTTTATGCAGTTGAAATTACAAATGAATCAAATACGACTGAGGGCCAAATAATTCGGTGAAAAATACCAGTTTATTCTTTGGAAATGGCGGTTGCACTAAGTTTGCTTGTTACTCTCGAGTTTGTAAATCACATATCAGATGTAAAGGGATACTCGAACGGCCAAATAATCTTAAGGAAAAACATTCTATTGGTCATGACTTTTGACAGATTTGGTGGCTCCTAAAGGAGCCGTTTGTTTGTGTTGGCAGACTGTGCAGTCTAACCGCCAAATCCGT